TCTTGGGGCCCACTCTGGGCAGTCGTTGGTCCTTCTTTGGGCCTTTTATGGCCGTTTGGAGGTCATGGGGCCGTCGTGGGGCCGTCTTGGGGGCCGCCTGAAGCCATCTTGGGCCGTCTCAGCATCTTGGCCGTCTTGGAGACGTCCTGCGACCATCTTGGGCTCTCTTGGGGCCATCTCAGCCGTCTCCAGGCATATTGGGGGCCATCTTAGAACAATCGTGGCTCCTCCTCCTCCTCCTCCTCCTCCTCCTCCTCCTGCTCCTCCTCCTCCTCCTCCTCCCCCTCCTCTGAGGGCCGTCTTGGAGGCCATCTTGGCCGTCTTGGAGGTATCCTTGGCCGTCTTGGGGGCATCTCGGTGGCCTTTGGGGCCGTCCTGGGCCGTCGTGAAGCCGAAAGTGAGCAAGCGCCCGAATCCTTCACCAACTAAGGGACATGTTGGCCAGCATGGGCCCAAGCATCGGTTTCTTGCAACTATGCGGCGCCGTCTATGTGGTGCAATCCATGTGGTGTAGTCGTCGGTGGTGCAATCCATGTTTTGCAATCTATGTGGTGTGACGTCGGCCGGCTGAACTTCAAGTTGTCAACCCACTGTTCGCGCAATCATCCCACGCATTCACCGCACCGTGGTTTGCAAGTCCCATGTGGCGACGATTGCGATGACTGCTTGGCGCTGGCTGGCGCAGAGCTGCGGCCGCGCTAGCGCGCGCAGGCGCGCGCGCAGACGAGCGGCCAGCTAGTCTGACTAGCGCGGCCGCGGTGGCGCTGACCGCTGGGGACTTCCCAGCGCGTCTGGCATGCCACGCTGACGTGCGGGCACTGAAGTGCGAGTCGGTGACACGGGCAGACGCAGTATCGTGGCGACGTCGACAACGGAAGGCACGGTGACGATAGTAACGATGTTGGTGACGCCGGCAAGGCCAGTGACGGCGCGGACGCTGATCACGCCGATAACGGTTCGTGTCGGTGATGAAGGTTTTGGGCGGATTTCGGCATGCGTGTGCGGCCGACGGGCGCAAGGGGCCCGCATAGTGTTATTTGACAGGGCTCGTGCCCACCCAGCTCACTCGCAGGGGCGTTCGAATGATTGCCACATGCGAGCGCGAGAGGCTTCTTTGGTCGCATTTGATGAACAGATTGAACACCTTTTCTTCCATTTCTTGCAAGGAATTCGCAGAAACGCGCAGGTCCTTCTGTGGACGCATCATTATGCAAACCCATGTATTTTTTTTAAGATGTTTCAGGACTTCCCTCTATTTTGATATCCTTATGGCCAGTCTTGTTTTTGACGGTTTTTCGGCATGCGCGCGCGACGATGCGCACGTGCGCGTTTCGTTTCGTGTGTCTGGAAGTGGGTGTCGCAAATATATGATTTTTGATGCATTGGGGTGCGCGCATAGTATTTGTTTGACGAGGATGAGGGGGGGGAACCCAGCCTACCTGGAATGGCGTGAGTTCATTTTGAATGAACCATTGGACAAAACCATATGTAAATTGCACATCCCCAGAGGGAAGGGATACTCCAGGGCGGAGAGGGTGCGGTGGATCAGTTTTTTTTTTTTTTAAAGGGTTGGCAACATCAAGCAATGCCTCCCAACGCATCGCAACGCAATGGAATGCGAATTTACGCAACGCACTGCGAAACAGTGCAAGGCGAGGCAACCAAATGCAACTCAATGCAAGGGAATACGACTCATTGCAAAGCAAGGCAACTCAATGCAAAGCAACGAAACACAGTGCAAATCAATGCCAAGTTATGCACATCAGTGCAAAGCATTGCAAGGCAACGCAACGCAACGCAACGCATGTAATGCACAGCAATGCAACGCAAAGCAAAACAGAACAGTGCCAAGCAGTGATAATCAATGCCAAGCAGCAGTGTCATGTAATGTCAACTAAGACAACGCAGTGCAAATCAAGACATCGCAGCGCGTAACAACGCGAAGCAATGCGAAGCTATGTACATTGGTGAAAAGGAATGCCAAGCAATGCAACATAGTACAACGCAGTGCGACGCAGTGCACAGCAGCGCGCAGCACTGTGAATCAATGTGAAGTATTGTGAAGTGATGCCGAGCAATGCAATGTCAGGCAACACGAAGCAATACCAAGCATTCCGAAACAATGCGGGCCACTGCGAATCAGTGCGAAGCGGGTGGCGACGAGGCGACGCGTGGCGACGAGGCGGCGACGGCGGCCCCATGGCGGTCAGAGCGGCCCGCAGGCCTAGGCGACTGGCGGCGACGGGCAGGGACGAGGCGTCGATGAAGGGCCACGTGGCAGCCAGAGCGGCCCGCAGGTTTCTCGTATGTAAGCCAGGATTTGCCCAAACGAAGTTCAAAACAGTTGAAGAAATATGGGTTGTGCGATCTGATGCGGTGCAATTTGTGGGGGCGCAAATTCTGCGGTGCAATCTGGTTGCAACACATGCAACAAGTTCTCCTCAGTGAGTTGTCAACTCCACTGCTCGCGCAGTCCTCCCACCCACCTGCGGGGCAATCTAGGTAGTGCAATTGGTATTGATGTTTTTGGATTTGCCAATCCCGGTGCTCGCGCAATCCCCCACCCAAACACCCGCAACTTGATTTGCAAAACCAATGCGGCGGCGATTGCGATGACTGCTTGGCGCTGACTGGCGCATCGTTGCGGCCGCGCTAGCGCGCGCAGGCTCGCGCGCAGAGCGGCCAGCTAGTCTGGCACGACCGACGCGGCCGCGATGGCGCCGACCGCTGGGGGCTTCCCAGCGCGACGCGCAGGCCGCGCTGACCAGCGGCCATTCTGGTGCGAATCGTTGATTCGGGCGGGCGCGGTATCATAGCGACGTCGACAACGGCAGACCCGTGATGATAAAGGGGCGATGCCTGTGACGTTATGGTGACGATGACGACGGCAAGGCCAATGACGGCGCCGATGCTGATCTCGCCGATAACGATGATAGTGTCCACGTATCAAGGGTGAAGGTTCTGGGTGGGGGTTTGCCGTGCGCGCGTGACCGACGGGCACGAGTGGCCCGCGTGGTATCATTTGACAGGGTTCGTGCCCCCCCCAGCAATCGCGGAAAGGGCATTCGATTGATTCCGACGTGCGCTCAAGAGACCTTCTAGGCTGCGTTTGATGAACGTGTTGAACAACCTGTGGTTTTCGTTTGAACTCGCATGGGCGCGGGCAGTTTTGTTTTGTTTTGTTTTGATTTTTCATTTCACGGGTAATTCTTGTTGATCCCCCTGCCTGGTGACCATAATGCTTTTCAATTACAGTTCTCCTCCTGGTGCCCGCACCTGGTTCTTACAAAGGAGTTTGTGGGGTCACCAAATTGTGCCCTTGACTTCCAGACTACAGGAACAGCGGCTCCCGCCAGATAAATCGTCACAGTGCATTGGGACATTGCGCTCTCGCGCTGGACTTCTTCGCACATTATGCAGGCATCGCGCTCTCGCGTGGGACTTTTTACGATTTCTGCATCTCCGTGCATTTTTTTGAGCTCGCGTGGCAACGCGGAGGTGACATGTTTTCGGGAACATCGATCTTGGAGTCGTTACGAAACCGAATATCTTTGAAGGCTCTCGGCATGCGCGCGCGACGCCTGGTGCGTGTGGATTCGGTTTCATGCAATGCATGTTTTTTGTGGGGGACGGTTTGTTGATGAACGATTATGCCCGCATGATATTATTTAATGGCTTTCTGCCCATCCCGCCACCGTGGCTGGGTTGTGGGTCGCAGGCCTCGGGGATGTTTGTAGGGATGTCGCGGGGGGCCTCTCGGGGGCCTTCTTGGGTGCCGTCTTGAGGCGCCACCGCTTCTTGGTCGTGGACCAGAGATTCTGAGATGTCTCTTGGGGTATCTTGCAGGCCTTGGGAGCCTCCAGGGGGGCACCTTGAGAGCCTCTGGGCGTCTCTTGGGCGCCTCGTTGGGCGGTTGGTGACCACCTTGGGGTGGAAGTCCCGAAACGTTCGTTCGCCCTCCCTCTCTTGGCCGTCCTGGGGGCTTCTTGGGCTCTGGTGGGGCCATGGAGGCCGTCCTTGGGCGACGACTTTTGGGGCCTCTTGGGCCGTCTTGGGGCGCTCTCAAGCCCAGAAAGGTGAGAATGCTGACTTTCTTGAGGCACCTGAGGTCTTTCAAGGTTTCACAGATTTTGGTTTCTTGGGGCGGCGCAGGTCTCCAAGACACTCCAGTAGGTGCCAACGAGGCGATGGAGAGCTCCAGGACCCTTTTGTGCGATGCTTGGAAGGCCATTGGGGATGTGGGAACCGGTTTGGGCTCATTCGGCGTCCTGGTGGGCCACGAGGGAAGCGCCGTGAAAAGTTGTGGTCTGGGCCCTTTACAATCCTGCCATCCCACGAGCCCCCTAGCCCTGACATCCGTCTGAGTCTTGGAACACTCCACTGCTTCTGAAGGCACGCACGGTGGCGGATTATCTCGCAGCTCCTGGGGGCTCCTTGGAACCCTCGCCAGGTTTTTTAATTTTGGTGGCTCTTCAACTCGCATATTCCCAGATTCCCTGCACGTCCTGCCTGTCCAATGAGCATGGGGCGGTCGAGGGTGCAGTATCGTGCGTGGATATCTTAGGCAGCCCCCCTCCCCCCCCCCACAGGCTGCACCCACAGGTCGCCGGCATGTCGTCCCAGCAATCCAATTTGCCCCGCCTTCTTGCATCCTTCCATGTGCCTTGCAGCGCCTGGAAACAACTATTTTTTTTGAGCCGCCCCCCAGATGGTTTCTGAAGTATTTTTTGACATTAGCGCCCAAAGGCACCAGCCTGCAGCTGCATCTCCAGCGAAGCCTACACGTGCGAGGACGGCGAAGCCGCCAGCTGTGAGGCTGGGGAGGAGTGCTACTCCGACGCCTCGTTCGGCAGCGCGGACTGGTCCAGCGGCTGTGCGAGGAGCATGTCCACCACGACGCCGGGGTTGCCGGGCTGCAGCGGCAGCATCTCGTGCGCCTACACGTGCAGCGAGCTTCGCTACGACAGCGGGCGGGGCGCCATCTTCTTCAACGATCCCTG